TGAACAATTTTTGTCATCCTCAAATCAACTCCCTTCTGTACATGCTGCTAATTTAAGCCACGTAAGTTAATGCATTTTTGAGGGTAGCATAATAGCAGACTCTTCCCTTGGAGATTATTTTCAACATACTGGTGTTACCGTGTCACATTGTTTCACAGTTTGGAACCTACTGGTTGATTTATACACCGTTCTTATTTTTTTAGGAATGGTAAACTTATTGAAGAAAATGAAAAATATATGCTGAGAGGAGGCAATACAGAACTAAGAATAAGAGATATAAAAAATATTGATGCAGGTCCTTATATCTGTAATGCTAAAAACAAAGCGGGAAATGATAAAAAACAGACATTCCTTCAAGTTTTTGGTAAGTACTACATAATATGTTCCATCCTTCCTCTTTAAATGTATACAGTAGGGAACTGAGGTGGTAATTCACAGTTTTCAGTGGAACAGTATTCCTGCAAGGTGTCTACTGATGCAGCAAACCACTCTCTGTACGATTTTACAGCTTTTTCCTCCCTGTTGGCTATTTTAACCTTTACACCTGAATTTAATTTTGAAAAGGCTATCTTTGGCATTTGCTTTTCTACTATTCAGATACAGTACAATGGAGTGTTAAATTGTTAATTCACTCTGGTTTTCCTTTAAAAGTTGGCTGCTTACAAGAAAACCAAGAGGAGAAAGAGGGGAAAATTCTGAAAACAGAAAAAAAAAGATTGTTTGGACTTCTAATCAGTGCTTGTTTTATAACACAACATACAGGGGTGTTTCTGATTTTTTTAATCTGTTTTTCTTTCTTGATTTTTATTTAAGTGCATGATTGCAGATATAGTCACAAAATTCTTGTCTGATCTGAGTTTCAAAGGACAAAACTAATAACATGAAAACTCATTTCCTTTTCTATGCTCTACCACCCAACCTGTGTTCATGATTCTCCCTTTTACATAGAATTGATAATTTCTTTCAAGTTTTGTTTAGCTATAACTTAGTGAGAGTCAGCATCTCTCTCACTCCAGAAGGCTGGAGAGGGACTTTGTACAAGGGCCTGGAGTGATAGGACAAGGGGCAATGGCTTTAAACTGGAAGAGGGAAGATTTAGACGAGATCTAAGGAAGAAATTTGTCCCCGTGAGGGTGGTGAGGCAGTGGCAGCGGTTGCCCAGAGAAGCTGTGGCTGCGCCATCTCTGGAAGTGTTGAAGGCCAGGGTGGATGGGGCTGTGAGCAACCTGGTCTGGTGGGAGGTGTCCCTGCCCATGGATGGGCTGTAAGGTCCCTTCCAACCAACCTGTTCTGTGATCCTATGATCTGTGAGAATGTAGAAAACCTCGCTCGGAATCATTATGCAGGATCAGGGCTGTAGCGTACTTACGAAAAACCTGCAAAAAAGTAACTTCTTGGGTTTTTTTTACTTTAACTATAGATTGTAGTAGAGAGAAAGGCCATTTATATTTGAACAGCTGAAGTATGTACTTAGGACCATGGGTAATTAAATTTTAATTAAGTTAAAATTAATAGTAATTTATACAAAGTGAAACAGTTCTAACAGGAGAGGGTAATCTGATAACTTGTGCTGGAAGAGCTAAGCTGTTGGGTTGGATAACGTTGTCATTTGGGATCTGGGCACCTGAGGCTGAAGCCATGCTGTCAGGAGAACAGGTCAGGTGTGTCTGTGTGCATCCCACTCTT